GGGGGGGGGGGGGGGGGGGGGAGATATTTATAGTTTTAGAGAAGGTTAGTTTTGTAAATTGAAAAAGTTTAAAAAAAATAGGCTATTGTGCAATATTACCGTTGGCAACGGTCAGTGGGGCCCACCATTTTAAAAAATTAAATATATCTTATATATAGCTTATATGTACTATATATATATATATATATATATATATATATATATGTGTGTGTGTGTGTGTGTGTGTGTGTGTGTGCGCGTGTGTGTGTGTGTGTGTGTGTAAGTATGTATATATGTAGTATATATAGTATATATAGTATGTTATGTATATATATTTCCTTATATATAATTTCTTGTAAATATATTATAGCTTATATAGAATTGTAAGTTAAATCTTCTAAAAAGTCAAATTTAAACACACAAAAAAATTGCAAAGAGATATTCAAGGGAATGTCTTATAATTTTTATTATTACGACACTAACAAAAATGACAATATCTTTCTTAGTCTTCCTCCCCCCAATGGAATGAGCACAACAAGGTGCTAATACCACCATTAAAAGAAAAAAAGAACTAAAGAAGATGTGCCAAAGTACAAGTTACACCATAATCTACATAGTATCTCTAACAAATTTCATAAATCCTTCAAGGTTCGGAGGAAGTTCCGTTGGTGGTGGCGAAAAAGAAGCTTGTTCATCACCGCTTCCGGGCGAAGCAGCATCCTCCGCAAGTTCTGCTATCATTTCTTCATAAGCTTCGTCTATCTCTGGTTGTGATTCTGCAAGTTCAAAATTTCTTAAAATAAAGTTTGGGGGCCAAATGGCTATTTTTTAAACTCCCAAACGGCTATTTTTTGATGGCCAACGGCTAGATTTTAAAATATGACCGTTGGTCATTTTTTTAAATTTTTTTTTTTTAAAATTATAGCCGTTGAGGACCGTTAGGCCCGGTTGAACCGGCCCAGGCCCGCCTGTCGGTCCCGAGCTTAATGGTCCCGGGCTCGTGGGCTATTTGTTTAAGACCGGCACGCTACGGGCTTATAGTACCAATTGGGACCGGCCCATTTGGCCCGCGGTGCCGGGCCGGTTCCGGGCTGGGCCCGGGCCACATTGCAGTCTTAAAATCAAGCCCATTTTCCAATTTTCAACCATCCTTCTTACTCCCTCTTCATCTCCTCCAATTTTCCTTTTAACTTCTGTCTGGTAATAACACCAGAAAAAACATGTATTCTACCCATATCACCTCCTTCATCTCCACCCCTTTTCTCACATCAAAAAACTCGCGCACACACACTAAACTTCTTCATCATAAGCTATGTTCCTCAACTCCAAAGATGTCACTTAACCAAAATCCGAACACCAACCTCATAACCACCATTACTAAGCTTCTATGGGGTCAATCCCTACCACCCCAGCTCCTCATCTCCACCGTCCGTTCCACATGGTCTACCACGTGGCACCTCATGATGTCTCAGCTCGCTCCTTCCGACCCCACCGGCTCCTACACCCGACCCACTTCTCAATTTCGTATAACTTCTAACCCCAAATTCTCCAAAAATGTCCACCTTTATGTGGGTCTGCCTTGTCCTTGGGCCCACAGAACTCTAATTGTTCGAGCTCTTAAGGGTCTAGAAGATTCTATTCCGGTCTCCATTGCTTCTCCAGGTATTGACGGGTCATGGGAATTCCGGGTTCATACTGACCCGAATAAGGATAAGCTTGTTCCGTGTTTGGATAAAGCCAATGGGTGTAAAACTTTGAGAGAGGTGTATAAGCTGACACGTGGAGGTTATAATGGTCGATCCACTGTACCAATGTTGTGGGACGTGGAGAAAAAAGAGGTTTTTTGTAATGAAAGTTATGATATTATTGAATTTTTCAATTCGGGTTTGAATGGAATTGCAGGGAATCCTGAATTGGATCTCTCACCACCTGCATTGAAAGATGAGATTCGAAAATGGAATGAGATTATCTATCCCAACGTTAACAATGGTGTGTACAGGTAAAATGTGCCATTATGTTTTGTGTGTGTGTGTGTGTGAATGTGTGTCATTTTGTAGGAAAGAGTATGCTTGAATTCTTTTTCTTTTTTAAAGTTACTCGCTCCGTCTCATTTTATGTGACAGTGAAAGAATGAGCTTGGACTTTAAGATTCTGACTTAACTTGTATATTATGTTAATGATAATAGAAGAAAATGTAGAAGTAATGGCTAAAAGTTGATTCGACAAAGAATACATATCAAAGTTTGAATTTTGGTCCTAAAATTTACAAAGTTAATATAAAAATTGGAATGGTATCACATATTGGGACGTCAAATATGTCAGAATGCCACGTAAAACAACAACAACAACAACAAGGCCCAGTTTAAACCCACAAGTGGAGTCTGGGAAGGGTATTATGTACGCAGACCTTACCCCTACCCGGTAAGGTAGAGGAACGAGTAACTGTTTCCAGTAGACTCTCGGCAATTGAAATGAAGAGTAAATTGTTTCTACTCAATTTGTGCGCACTTCAACTAATTTATTAAGTAATATTTTCCAATCTACAAGCACATGTACTGTGTAAGCCTGCTCACCAAGATTGAGTGAATGGAACTCGTGCTGAGTGTGGACTATATTTAGTTTGGTTGTGTAGTTGAAGTAATTTGTGTGCCTTTCTTGAATATTTGTAGGTGTGGATTTGCACAAAGTCAAGAAGCGTATGATAAGGCAGCAGAAGGGTTGTTTAGAACATTGGAAATGTTGGAGGATCATTTGAGGAGATCAAGGTATTTATGTGGGGATGTTTTGACACTTGCAGATGTATGCTTGTTCACTACTTTGATTCGGTTTGATGTCGTCTACAATGTGCTCTTTAAATGCACCAAAAAGAAGCTCGTTGAATTTCCTAACCTCCATGGATATCTCAGAGACATTTATCAGGTACTAAAATTTCTTTCTTGCGTATGTTCAATAGGAGAAAAAAGTCCGTTTGAATATGGTATCTTGAACAACTAGTAGAATTGGATCGGAGTACTTCAGTTGTGATTAATGTAAACACTGATCTTCATTAACGTTTCAACATATGCTGTGATAAATAGTCAGATAGCCTGCTGATATTGTTAATGAAGTAGTTAGTCACTTGAACTATTTATCAGAAAAGAGAGCACTTTATCACTGAACTAACGATACTTGTCATATGCTAGAAGGCGGATCTAGAGCGTTTTGTGGGTTCATTTGAACTTATTATTTTCTTGCTCAAACTACATACACGTGCAAAATAAAATAAAAATGCATATATATGTTAAGATTGCACTCATTTTGAACTCACTAGTTCGGCATCCTGAATGTACCTTTGCATATGATTAACAAGCGGCAAGTGGGCAATAAAGATAGCTTGTGAGATATGTGTTTTAATGTTGAACAGATACCAAAGGTTGCAGAAACTTGCAATATGGGGCAAATAATGGAAGGTTACTACAATATTCTGTTCCCACTGAATCCAGGGGGTATTAAGCCCCTCATGCCTAGTGGTACTGAGGATGAAGTACTCACCAAGCCGCATAATAGAAGCTCCCTGCAATTGGAGGCAAAAGTTGTGCAGCACTCTGTTTCTTGAATTCATGTTTTCAGATGGTGTGCTTACTTGACTACCTTCATTAAAGAGTTATAGATAGAGACAAGACGCGGTGAGATTACACCTATTAAACGTAGTGTATATATGTATTTATTATGTTGTACAACCGTATGTACAGAGTTCCTATGTACTTGTTCTCGACATAGGAGGAAAAAAATGTAAATACATTATTCTGAAATACATTTTTTTTATCGAATTTGAGGAAGTTTAGCCTTTCTACAGGATGAACCTCTGCGAAGTTCTTGTGTTCCCGTTTTATATCAAAGTTTTAAAATAAAAAATATTTATCTCTTGCATTTTGTAGAGCTGAATTGTGCATAGTTGACATTTTGCTATGTGTTGCATTGTTAATTCCTCTGTCTTTCATTGTTTAACTTAGAATTAGTTCTGATGATCTCTTCAACAAGTTGAGCAAGATTTGATCGCAAAAACGAATAAACATCAAATTTTCTCCAAACGATATTTCGAAAGACCCTTGTAGAAAAACCGGGATCCACATTAGTTGTTTACACCAAATCAATATGAATACATATATCTTTATTTATAATTTTATCACTTAATCCCGATTATTTTTTTTATCTTTAATATACTTCATAACCATGATTAACAATCCATCAATCTACTACAACTTAATCCCAGATGAAAAACCAAGAGTTATATTCTAGCTCTGCTTCCTCTTCTGTAATCAATAGGGAAAAAAGTTGCCAAATGAAATGCAAGGTTACCAAGTTCGATTTAAAAAAGAAATAACACGGACAAACTGAGAACTGAAAGAACTGGCCAAGCAGCAATTATGAGCATAGGAATGAGAGTTCAAAAGGTAAGTTTCAGCGCCTTCAAGCTAAACGCATGGCCTAGACCACATTATGCTATGGTATCCATGTGTGGGCACCATAGGCCCTCCAGCATCTAATCAAATGTACCGAAGAATCCTAATATACAACAAGAAAGGCAGCAGATCTAGCTTATTCGCGACATCCTTGAAAATTCTATCACAAATACTATTCTGCAAATACAAATATGTTAGCCCTTCTGCAGTCTACACAAATGCACAAGTACACCAGAACCCTTCAAAGATTCTAAATAATCACGGAGTCTTGGTAGTTCCAGTCACAGCTTTCAGGATCAACCAAAGTCAGAAATCGGCCATATGTTATTTGGAAGAAATCACCATCCTCTCCTTGCTCTGGATCCTACATGGTAGCATGACACTGAGCGAGTGAGCAATAAAACAAATATCAACCTATATGATGACTTGGTCGAACACTGATGATAATAGCTTGCTAACTGGAAATATATATTATGGTGCAAATACAAAGTCTCACCTAAACTTCATTGAAGGTAGATTGAGGGGACACTGAAGCAGCTGCTGTAGGTTCATCAAATACAAAATGCAACATGCAAAATGTTTACCTACCCGCCCTAGATTGCTGATATTGTAACATCTTGAAAACAGGGTTAAGTACCCCCCCCCCCCTCCCAAAACCCCAAAACTATAGGGACTTCTAAATATCAAACAGTCATCCCTTTTGATAAGAGTTATAGTCAATTAGGAAAATGCCAAATTCATAATATCTATATATATATATATATATATATATATATATAATAAAGACTACAGTCAGGTACACGTACAATAAAATAGATCTAGTCGTGCACATGGACAGTTTTCAGGAAATTGCAAACATGTCATAAGAGTAATTCTAGCCAAGACTACCAATATCCAATAAAACTCTTCAATGCTAAAAGCTCTTTTTCTTGTTTTATTCGAGCCCAATAATTGAGGAATATATAATTGCATATATATTTTTTTTGAAAATTCATCCAATTTGTGACCAAACCCATGCAGTAGCTACCAACTTTTACTAGCAAAGCAAGATGGAGACTTTGACTTGCAAACTCAAATTCTTAAAACGACAGATAAACCTTACGTTCTGGAAAAAAACTTACTTCTTGGACGTTTCATATTTCGGCAGAACTTGCTACCACACTGGCATCTAAATGCTTTTACTGGATGTTCATGGTCATCAAAATCAATACCGTAATCCTGCAAGAACCAAATTCAAGAAAAAAATATACTATCAAATATCAAAAAGAAGCTACGAAGAATTAGACTAGAAGTACTCAACGTTCAGAAGCATCAATCCGTTTTTTTCCTCAAATCATGGTGCTTTTCTTTATATTAAAGATGCACCATACTTGGATAAATCACATTTTTTCGAGCTCTGAAGAATTAGACTAGAAGTACTCAAAGTTCAGAAGCATCAATCCATCTATGAAGCTTTTCTTTACAAGAAAGTCTGGGTTTTGATTATTCTTTTTCTATTTTCGTTTGCCCGTGGGGTTGGGTTGGGGAAGGGGGGGGGGGGGGTAGGGCATAGTTCTAGTCGAGTCATTTTGTTATATCTACTATAAACGAGGATCATTGCTCTAGAAACAACCATGTCCAGATACCAATTAAACTTCTATTGTGTGTGTGTGTGTGTGTAGAGAGAGAGAGAGAGAGAGAGAGAGAGAGAGAGAGAGAGAGAGAATTTATATATAGATAGTATAGAATAGACAGATATCTTTCAGAAGCACAAAAAATCAAGAGCACCAGAATACAATAAGCATGTGTGAACCAGCTCAAGCCAACTCACCCAAGTGAGTTCTTCCAATGCCTTAACCTTTCTTGTAGTGAAAAAGGCAAGCTGCATCAAACACATGAGATATCCAGAAAAACCGTTAGTTTGAAGAGCTAGAGTGAATGTTGAGGACAAATTGAAAGATCCAGAAGCACAAAGTTCCTCACATGATAGTAGTGGTGATCTGGAGTCTCTATTTCAACTGGTATTTCAACCATATTTGAATCAAAACATCTGGACCAAAACAACAATAAAACAAAATCACATGCAGTGACACGGGTTAGTGACATATTTATGGGTGATGAATATATCTAATATGCAAAAAAATGCATAGCTTTCTTTGGCTATTGTTTCCTATCATTCTTTCATTTGTCCCTCAATTTCTGGTTTAACTTTCAAAAAGGGGAATGGGAAACAATAATGGATTCTGAAATGGTAATATTATGCAAATTTCAAGGCACACAAATATGTGGGCATGCTTTTAGAGACAGAGTAGTCAGAGGTGGCTAGATGCAGGAATACGAAAAAGAAAACATGAGCAGAATTTATTACAAAGGATGTGAATGTTTTATGCCGACTGAACACGAGTGAACCATCAAATATACCAAGAAAAGGAAAAAGGTTTTCATCAGCATTTGAGAAGTTAAAATGCAGAAAAGATCCAGAACTAATTCAAGTACGTACCACCTGACATCTGAACAAATAGTCAAAGTACAACACCTATAACTCCTAGACTACGAATAAATTAAAAAAAAAACGAATTGACACAAAACTGATACCCCAAAAGAAAGTTGAAGCTGGGGGAGAAAATCAGCAAAAGACAGTTAAAACATAAGATCCTACTATGTACTTACCTGTGATTGATAAACCTGGCTACATTCCCGAAAAATGTCGCATCCAAACAAAGGGCTTCTTCATCCTTTAAGACGCCCTCTGAACCCCAGTCAGCATCAAGCAGCACGGGATAAGAATGTTCCTCACTATTGGGGCTTTGTGAAACGCGAGAAAATAGTTCTGCGTTCGTAAGAACTTCTCCCACATACTCACAAATAAAAGCACCTCTTGGAAGGTCCTCAAGGGTACGTAAGCCCCACCCTTTCCCTTCAGGAGTCATAAACACCTGAAATAAGTAAAACCAGCAAAAACCTAAATGAAGTTAATACAGAACATCAAGAATAATTTTAAAAGTAATCACTAAGAAACAAAAATGATTTCTAAGTAGCTCAAAAAAGTATAGCAGATTACAGCAAAAGTGTGCCTCAAAAACATAATGCATGAGTTTTTACTGCATCAGGCACATTACCAAAGACCATTCCAACATCAACCACAAATTCTTACCTGTAACTTGCGGCTAATACCTCGCTGTACCACACGATTCCCACACTGTTTATTACAGCCACATTTCCACCAACACTCTTTGATGAAGTTCCTCACTAGATGACCTTTACAAGGTTCTATAATATCCTCGTTTTTCGATCTTTCCAATGGGCATTCTTTGCAAAAGAATTGGCAGTGTTTCTTGGGGTCACGATTCATAGAAATACTCTCTTTAAGAAGATCCTCTTTGACAAGGCCTTCTGTTGTGTAAGCAAAATCACCACCACTTTCATATGCGCATGCACAAGGTGTGGACAGTGACAAACAATCATCACAGCAAGTTGAACAACTGTTGTTATCACCAATACGAGCCAGAGAGAAATTCAGATATGCATTCTGGAAAACCACATTTTGAGCTATGTAGTGAAAGGATGGCGGGCTTTTGCTATTAACTTGATTCACCAATGAAATCATAACCTTCTCTTGCCCCTTGGTTATATCTTCAACAAAACAAGAAACTGCTTCATCTGGAGTTGATTCACACACAGCCACCGGACTTTGAGACGTAACATGTTCAAGAACATTCTGATCAATCTCTGGAGCACTACCACATTTCCCCGCAGATGCTACTTGATCAGTTGAGGTGCTGTTGTTGTGACCATTACAAGGAGGAGGGAGCTGTGGTTTCTCTGGTTGAGCCTCCATACCAGCAAGTTCTATACTTAGAGGTCCCGGACTCTGAGACGTAGCATGTTCAAGAATATTTTGATTAATCCATGGAGCACTACCACAATTCTCCTCAGATGCTGTTTGATCAGCTTTGGTGCTATTAGTGTGACCATTACAAGGAGGAGGGAGTTGTGGTTTCTCTGGTTGAGCCTCACCAGAATCAAGTTCTGAATTTATAGATCCATTTGAAGAAACTAGAGCAATTCTTCTATAACCAATATCATTTTCTGCATCCACATTTCTAGTTTCTTGCAATTCACGATTGTACTGGCTTCCCAGTTCCAAAAAGCACTCACACATGTCTTTCATCAGCTTTGTCACAGAAAAGTTAGGGTCCAGGACTTTGTATGATTTAAGACATTTAGCCTCCACCAATTTCAGAACAGCCTCTAGACTAGGCAAATGGAAGTCTGATCTACCAAGAGCTGAGTCACAACCTATAGAGACTTTTACCTCTCCAAAAGTTGAGGAGGCAATATCTATGTTAGAATAACACCCGTTCTGCGCTTTTACTAGCTCATGACTTGTTCCCAGTCCATTTGATGAAGTTGGAATGTCCTCATCTGCTTCTCTTCCGCCTCTCAGTTCTGCTGCTAAGATTTCAGAAGTTTCTGGCTCTCTTCTTGAGGCATTACCACTTGAAGAACCTTTGTTGTTTGATGGCTCTACAGAATCGAAAAAAATGGCCTTTAGAAAGGAGAACTCTTAGCTAAGATGTTACTAAGAAATTTCCCAAGAGACATCCACTAATGACATTATAAGGTAATCTTCCCTCTATACCAATTTGTTTGGCACAACTTGATTGGAAGAAAGTTTAAGAAATAGAGGACCTTTGACACATAAGCTTAATATGTATAAAGTACCAAAAGTATCCCTATAGTAGGGTCCACATAAATAACGTCAACATCTAGCATAGCATCTCACTAAGGGCAAACAGGGAAGGTAAATATTAGGAGTTCCTAAATATAGGAAGTACCAATCTTTTTGAGAGATATGAAAGAAAAAGAAAATGGTTCCAAACAAACAAATATGGGACAGCGAGAGTTCTTATTAAAATTTTATGTTTACTCAATAAATGCACAATGATGAGGAACCATATGGCACCCATCCCAGGACATCAATTAGTAAACTAGTAAACCAATCTAGAGATATGTATTGAGCCTAGCTCCTCAACAGAGAAAAGTCACTAGCTCTACCGGCGAGGAAAATTTAACTAGCATGAAGAATTTAAATTGTGACATGATAAGGACAAAAGTCCTGCTATTTGAGGGAATACATACCAGGGTGAATAACAGCAATAGGAACCTCGAACTGTGGGCTATCAAGATCATATGGTTCATCCTTAGGCTTGACGAAAGCATGAGTACCCAACATCTTCTGTTTCGGAGACAGCTTGATGCCAGGCTCACTCTGTGGCTCTTTGAGGTTTGATGCATGAGAAGCTTTCCCAAGGACTAAACTTTTCTCCCTGGACATGATTTGAGCTGCTTGAGGTTCTTTCCCTTTGCGATGATTCTGCCGAGAATTAGTATCATTTTCCACTCTGTCATCACTATAAGGCTGATATCTCTCAGGACCAGCAGTCTGACTGGGACCAGACTTTTCTGGCAACATCGAAGCTTTAGGTGAGACTGGTTGCTTCCCTTTGTTTCTGGCATATGTCAGACATGGGACAGATAGGGACTCAGCTGCTGATGTTCTATTATTCAGCTGAGGGCCTTGTGAGCGACCCTGGGAATTAGTTCCAGGTAGCTCAGCTTCCTCCTCCACTTTCGGCATTTTGAATGAAGTCCCAGCTGAAACAGAGCTAGAATTGTTAGCAGAAGATGAAGCTTGACCTTCTTGATGTCTTAATCGCAATCTCTTTAAGGGTCTTTCAGGCTCCTCATCCACTGCTTCTTCCTCCAAAACCTCCTCTTGCTAGAAACATGACAAGGCACCGAGATAAGGTGACAGGAAATGAGAAAAGACATCAATATGAATACATATACAAAATACAGGCAACCAAACTAGAGCTTGTACTTCAATATTCTCAGGCTTCTTACTTCCTGCTGCCTGCAAAAATGACACAAAGCAAGAATATTTAAATTCGTACTAAGCAAATAAATATTTTTTATACAGGAAAAATAAAGAAATTTCAGGGTAGAATAGATGTGTGAGAAAGAGAAGAAAAGAAAGATTAAAAAAGAAAAGGATAGATTGAACCTCTGCCTCCTCTTTCTCAAATATTGCATCTGCAAGTGCTCTGTAATTCTCTTCTTCAATAAGCGCCCAGTTCTTGTCATACAATTTTAGAAGGCTCTTCAATACTGGCTTCACCTTTTCTTCAGAGATTCCAATATCCTTCATAGCACGAAATGCTTTTGCAACTCTTGGATTTGTCGGCATTGTTCTTTCTTGTGGGTTTCTTTTTAATCAGTGAACCTACAGTTAATATGAGATGCGTTTACCAAACAGCACAGAATGAACAATTCAGAGTTTGCAATTATAAAGGACTAGATAATAAAAGATAAAACTAAAGAAAGGTGCAAATCATTGCAACTGATGTGATGATTGAGAACCCTTAGTTTGCAACCAATTGAAAAGGAAAATCTGTCTCTACCATGTGCCATCAACCAAGTCTGTTGCTACGGAAGATAATTGATTTCGTAAGATAAGATTGAGGATAATACACCTTTCTGAGTTAAGTCAGAACCCCCCTAAAGGATGAAGAAGACAAGCAGAATATTGAAGCTTTTCCAAGCATATTTCACATTCTCCTCACCACCAGGTCCAAAAACCTAGTATATTATGTTTCACAGGAGAAAGTTAATCATCCGGTTTCTTCTATATTTCTTCCCTGGTCCCATCAAGCATCAACATAACTGGAAACTGAAATCAAACTTCTATCTCACTTGGAAATGGCAAAAGGTAATTTTTCGAATGGATCACCAAGGAGTACTCCCGGTGGAGAGAAATTGACTCACGGCTAAACTGAAGACTACATTGCCCTAAATCCAAGACAACTAGCATTACTGCCCAACGCTGGATAATCATATTTCTTTGAGGTACTAAATAAAACTCCATGAATGAGCAAAATAAAGGTTGCAGTAATGATGATAAAAATCTCTGGGAGACCGCTACAAAAAGATTGAGCATGCACCCATGGGTGTGGCCTAGTGGTCAATGAGGTGGGTTGAGAGCCCTGAGGTCTCAGGTTCAAATCGCGAGCCTAGTAGAAAATTTTTCCTTGCAGGTGGGAGATAGAAGGTATCACATAGAATTAGCCAAGGTGCATGCAAACTAGTCTGGATACCACGGTTATCCAAAAAAAGAAAAATTGAGCATGTGGGAGGATCCGAACAAATGCTGCTTTCATTTCCCACTTATGGAGCACTGAGTAACTTAAGCAGCATTTCCCACTTATGGAGCACTGAGTAACTTAAGTTACGGTCTTGCGCAGGCAGGTTGCACTGTAGGTGGCTAGGAAGGCTTCCAATGCTGTTATCTATGAATGCAGTGGGCCATGTCTAGAACCAAAATTTAGGAATTTGGCTAAGCCATTAGGCCTAATACTCGAACAGAGTGTTGACATATACGAAAAGCGTAGAAAGGAGCACTCACAAATGTCACGAATTATATGAACCAAGGCATTTATAGACTGCAATTAAGTAAAATATATGCAGCAAAAACCATGCCGATCAAGTCAAAAAGCATATTATATCCCTTATTCAAATGCAAAGATGCAACTTTAATTTTTTCATTTAGATCAGCGACTAGCTTTCTTACACAAGATTTCTAATTTCCCATTCCTAATCACAAAATAATAATATCTTCGTAATAATCAATTTTGCCAGCTACATTTATATCTCTTCCAGACAATCCATGAACAACAAAGACTAACTAAACAACACCTTTTCTCAATAGCGTCGGACCAAGTAGCAACATTTCACCAAGACTTGATCATCGCACAGAAACACACACCTTGATGCTTAGGTGTCCTAAGGCGTCGCCTAAACAATGCTTGTCCTTAACTTCAGGGCTTAAAGCACACTTCAACCAAGCCTTTGATAAAACTACTCAAATATACTGCATACACCAGCAACCAACTGTTAGATGCAAAATACAAATAATTATCTGAAATTTTCTAGCAATAGATGTGATTCTTTATTTCTTTAGAGAAACTAACTTTCTTTCCATAAAAATTATATCATGTCAACTTCTTCTTTTTTCAATCTAATAATAAATCAACCACTTTATGGAGGCCGAGTTAAAAGACTAAACCTTTTCTCCTGAGAATGATTCTTTTTTTTCTTCCTTTTTTTGGGGGTGGGTGTGGGGGTGGGGTGGGTGGGTGTATGCAGACTATTAATGTACTTTTGTGCCTGTAACTGAATAAAAAACATTAGGATTAAATTAAGTGCAAGACCAACATTTCAGAGAGTCACTTAGAAAAGATCAAAAGACACAGCTCTTTTTTTTTAAGAAAGGGCATGAATTAGAGTACCAGAAGCAGCTCTCAAGAAACTTAACAAAATTGAATTAACAAACAAGCATTTTTCCTAATTACTCAAAACTTCAGGTGCCATGCAAATAATTATTATAGCGGGGTCCACCTCGATGATATCGAAGTGATATTTCCTTTAGAAAATGGGGAGCAAACACCGGCATTGTATCCAGTACACAAAATCATTTTTGTTACCACGAAAATTCTGGTTTTACCCTATAAAAATTATTGCTAAAAAAACATACAGATTTTTGTAAAATCAGAGAAAGATATAAAGGAAAAAAATGTAGAAAAGAGGGGCGACTAGAGAAAAAGAGAGACGTACAATTTGATTCCGTATGAGAAAGAGAGAGTGAGGAGTTTTCTGTATAGAGAAGAGAAAGAGAAAGAAAGAGGATCCTGGAGAGGGAGCAATTTTCAGACGGAGAAGAGGAGCGTTGAGGAGAATGAGGCTGAAAGCCTTATAAATTTGGGCTTAGAATTTGGAGTTGTAGTTCATTACAGCCCGATAAAGAAAGGAATTTGGGCTGGGCCAGGTTCCTTATTTTGAAAGAAAAATTAACCCAAATAGCCGCATATCTAATCGCTTAAACTAAAAATAGNGAATGGAATGCAATGTGTATTGTGTGTTATGGCGGGGCAGATTTACTCTTATACGGGTGCAGAGCGGGTTAAAATAATTTTTAAAAATTTTAAAGCGGGGCGGGTTAAAATAATTTTAAAATTTTTAAAGCGGGGCGGGGCAGGTTGCGGGTTCAATGCAGGGCAACTTTGAATTTTATCTTTTTTAAAATAAAGCAATCATTTCAACTACAATTTCACATTCTTCTTCAGTAGCACGAAGATATGTATTATGGGTTACCTGAGAGATTTTTATAGCTAAATCTCAAAGTCACGGCAATATATATTGCACGTTATTAAATCTAGCACGAAGATATATATATATATATATATATATATATAT